CATGCATGCTAAGCATGCCCTCTACCACTGAGCTCCACCCCAACCTCTCTTTTATTTTTATACCTATGTTTGCTGCTGACTCATGCTCAGTTTTCTCCCTATCTTTTTAAATAAAAAGAAATGTTATGATATTTTTACATTTTCTGTGTTAAGTATGAATTTTTGCCCTGTGGCATGCCATTGAATGCATCATTAAACAATCTACCCTTTAAACATAAGTCAGAAAAAAATATACATTCTGATTAAGTGCCAATAAACTCATATTTTAAATAGGCATGAATTAGTAATGCTTTTCAATTTACTGCCTTTCTAAAATGGTTTGTCTCCTGGCTGGCTAGAAAGGGTTATTTTGTTAGACCAGTGGAGCAGGAGATTGTTATAGGACATATTGTAGCTGAGCACTTGCAATTCTTTTGACAAAGTCTTTCACTCTGTCTTTGTCTACAGGATGGGGAAATTTGTGCAACAAAGACTAGATAATATTACTGGAAGAGTCACAGTTCAGCTGTCAGAGAGGACAGAATCATGTTGTTGATCTGGTGTAGGCTATAGCGATGCAGCTCATGTTTGTCCTTGGCTTGTAAGATATTTTCACCAGGACTGTTTAATACAAAAACTTAACTTATTTTCAAATAGAAAAATGAGCCAAGGTTGGGAATAATGGCTAATTCCTTGGCTAAAGGAGTTAGGATTCTCAAAGATACTGATGAGATTTCACATTGGGCTCAGACTAAGAGGAAAGTCCTTGACAGAAGTGAAAGGAAACAAATCCCAAATGAACAAGCACAGAGTGGAGGAATTGTCCAAAACAGCCAGAAACAGCCCCAAACAGCATTTCCCATAATGCCCAGCAGGGCCCTAATACCTTTTGATGTTCATAGACCTTATCAGTTAAAAAAAGATAAAGGTCTTGGGATCATTGAATAATAAGTGGGGAAATTCTGAGGTCAAACAAAGTTTAACGTGTTTTTTCACTGACGACCTTCTTAGCTTTTAATATGTTAACATGCATTAAGAATTTTAAGAGGCAGATATAATGTGCAATGTTTCCTTAATTAATTTGACCTTCTTTTCATGAAGCATTTTGCTGGATGATTGATCTGCTGGATGTACTAGGCAACATTGACCCAGAGATTTTAGTTGAACAGAAACCTTATGTGAACCTATAGACCAGAACAAATAAATGTAATCCATTATTGTGTCCAGAGAAATGGAGGTATCGTTCCCAGCACATCGTATTTCGAGAATAGTTTTCTAAAGGACAATGGCAAACTGAGCCATGTCATATAAGGCAGAAATGAAAGGAATAGAGATGAAGAGGCCTTGGCAGATATGACAGCTATGGTAAAATATTTAAAGGACTGCATGAAGGCTGAGAACTTCTGAGTTTCTGATCAGATGGGTAATAATAATGATGATGATCATAGCAGGCATGATTCTTTCTATGTGCTGGACACTCTTCCAAGTGCCTTTCATTTGTTAACTCATTCATCTTAAAACATCCCTGTGAGGTAGGCACTATTAATATTTCCATTTCATAATAGAGAGAAATTAAGACTGAGAAAGTTATCTTACCAAGGTCACAGAACCAGTGAATGGCAAAGCTGGGGCTTGAACTCTAGTGATTTGATTATGAATCTTCTGTTCCTATCATTCCATTTCATTGCAGGGTAAAGAACTTTGGACAGGGATCCCTTACAGATATTCAAGATTACCTTTGAAGGACATATGCTCTCTCACCTGGGTGGTATTTACATAGTAGCTGTAGGAATACACTGGCATTGGCAAGAGTTTAGATGAATGCTAGAGACCTCATAGCTCTGCAGCACCATTCCAAAAGAAGGAATTGACTTGCACCCTTTCATCTTTATATTTTGTATAATTCCTTTTGGGGGGGCATGCAAGGAATTGAACTCAGAGGCACTCAACCACTGAGCCACATCCCCAGCCCTATTTTGTATTTTATTTGGAGACAGGGTCTCACTGAGTTACTTAGCGCCTTGCTGTTGCTGAGGCTGGCTTTGAACTAGCAATCCTCCTGTCTCAGTCTCCCTGATTGCTGGGATTACAGGTGTGTGCCACCATTCCTGGCTGTATAATTCTTTTTAAAAAAACATTTTTCTAAAAAGTATCTCTGTGATGGTACTCTACTCATAGAAAAGTGCTCAACAGATGCTTTTGATCACTAGTTTGAATTGATACCATTTTGCAGTTAGGAAATCCAAGGTTAAACATCTCATTAGAATGTTATTAAATTTCTAATTAAGGGTAATGACTGGACTGCTGGTGAAGTGGTCAGTGTTGTCAGTCTAAACCCTCCTTCCTGCCTTTCTGTGTGAGATGTGGATAGATCCTTTATTAACAAGCCACATTCCAAGAGAAGGAACTTGTTTTTTTCAGTTCCAATACTCATTACTTATATGATACCAAGGATGCCATGTCATATATTCAGTTTAAATTGGTTTTGGAATAAGCACTGCCCCTCAGTTCTTGGCAAAAGCAAATGAAAAATTGTCTATGGAGAAAGTATTTATTTCCATTCCAGGGTTCAGAGTATCTACAGAAAATATTTTTAAGGTCATTGTAGTACACAGGGAAAAAAAATAAGCAGTTAAATACATAAGAAATTAAGGTAAGTGGCAACAGCAGAAACAGCAGACTGCCGAAGCAGACCCATAATAAATTAATATTTGAGAATTATTAGATTATTTTTCAAAAACTCTTTATGCTGTTAGAAAAATGAAAGAATATTGAAAAAATATTGGCAGGAAAGTACAACCTTGGGAATGACCTTAAAAATGACAAAGTAGGGGCTGGGGTTTTGGTTCAGTGGTAGAATGCTTGCCTAGCATGTTTGTGGCACTGGGTTCAATCCCTGGCACCATGTAAAAATAAATAAATAAAATAAAGGTACTGGGTCCATCCATAACTAAAAAAATTTTTAAAAAATGACAAAATAGGGCTGGGGTTGTGACTCAGTGGTAAAGTGCTTACCTAGCATGTGTGAGGCACTGGACTCAATTCTCAGCACCACATAAAAATTAATTAATAAATAAAGTAAAGGTCCATCAACAATTTAAACACTTTAAAAAATATTTTTAAAATGACAAAGCCCAATTCAGTGGTGCATGCCCATAATCCTAGCAACTGTGGAAACCGAGGCAGGAGGATTGCAAGTTCAAAGCCAGCTTCAGAAACTTATTGAGGCCCTAAGCAACTTAGTGAGACCCTGTCTCAAAATTTAAAAAAAAATTAAAACTGTGGGGGTTCAATCACCAGTACTCTTACTGTTCCCCGCTAAAAAGAAAAAGAAAAGAAAAGAAAAACAAAAAACCTGACCAAATAGAGGGTTGGGAATGTGATTCAGTAGTAGGGCACTTGCCCAACACCAGCATGTGCAAAGCCCTGGGTTCCATCTGTAACACCTCAAAAAATAAATAGAGAAGAAAAAGAAATATAGTATCTTAAATTTTAAACTGTTTAAAATTTGATGCAGTCGAGGAGAGAAATGAATATTCAATCAGACAACTGAATAGAAGGAATTCTTAGGAATGAATGCAAAGAAGGATTACAAAAAGGGAAAAGCTAGGGAAGTCCTGTTCAGAAAAATGGAGATTGAGAAAGTCGAACATTTATCCAATCCTTTAAGCAGAATAGAGTAGGAACAGAGAAGAGGCACTGTTTGTTGAGATCATGACTGAGAAGATTCCAGAGCTGATTAAGACTCTGAGCACATGTTTATGAAGCCCACTGAATCTTAAACCAGCATAAATAAAACCATAGAAACACAACACAGGAAAAGGATAGATTACCTTCAAAGAAGCAACTATCAGCTCTACTACTGATAAGATGCAAGTGGACTAATATTTCCTTATACTAAAATAACAACAAACAAAACCCCTAAGTCTTTCAGTTAAGAATTCTATACCCAGTGATTCTTTGATAGCTATCAAGAATATGGATTTCAGAAAAAGCGAGGTATTTTAAGATATCCAAGACTTGGGAAATTCATCATTAATTAGATATCTAACCTAAGGATATACTTGGGACAAACTGATCTCAGAGGGAAGATTTGAGGTTAAAGCAGGAAAAAAAGTAACTAATATTATCTAACATCTAACAATTTAAAGAATTAAGACAATTTAAAAATATTGGGGTTTAAAAATATAATTAAAGTACAATTAAAATGAATTCCTACAATAATGTGTAAGTCCAATGATTGGTAAATGTATTTTGAAGTGTTCTGGATGAATGGTATTTATTATATTTAGGCTTTAAAAGAAAGAAATAGACAAACAATAGGACACCATGGGAATTGTACCATGCCAAGTAGTATTCTAATCAGGCCAGGAGGTTCTGATGCTGGTATCAGCTTTGCCACCAGTTAGTTGGAGAGCCTTTGAAAAGTGAGTTCTCTGATCTACATCTCTGTTTTCTTGTCTGTAAAATATGAGGCTTTGGAACCTGATGAAATTTTAAAGCCCCTCATTATGATTCTCTGAGAAGTGAATCCTCTAGGAAAAAAAAAATCAATAGTTCTGAGTTGTTGTTTTTCTTTCCCCTCCTTTGAAATTTTATCAATAAACACTTGCATTTTTCTTTGGGCTAACACACATACATATATATATATATAGATAGATAGATAGATAGATAGATAGATAGATAGATAGATAGATAGATAGAGATATATCTGTTCAAAAATGGGAGAGTAAACATTGACTCACTCAGGTGTGTATTTTGCGGTACTCTTCCTGTGTGTTGGTTTCCTTTGATTTCCTTGTCATCTGGTAGCCAGAAAGAGTGATGGTAGTTTACTAACACCTGAGGGATAGGTGGCTTTTGTGGATGTTAGAGGGACATTTGTAGAAACAAGCTGTGAAAAGAGGCCCTTCTTATGCAACTATTGTTCTTTCTTTTTAACTTATTACCTGAACTGATATATGCGTCCTTTATTTTCTCACCTTCTCTTTTTGTCCTCTTTCTCCCTCCTGTCTTTGCAGGCTAATAATAAACCAGAGATTGAAGCAGCCCTCTTCCTAGACTGGATGAGACTGGAACCCCAGTCCATGGTGTGGCTGCCCGTCCTGCACAGAGTGGCTGCTGCAGAAACTGCCAAGCACCAGGCCAAGTGTAATATCTGCAAGGAGTGTCCCATCATTGGATTCAGGTATTAGGAACAAACAAAAGCTGCCTTTTTCTGCCTTATCATTTCTTACTTTTTTATGACTCAATTTTTTATCTCCTGTGCCAGTTGCTGTTAGTTTGTTCTTCTCTAAAGTGGTAGAGAAGGTGATCAAGCCGGAACATCAATCACTCCTGTCACTCCTCCCATTGCTGGGTTATTTTGGTGGATCTGACTCATTAGGCAGATGTCCCTTTCCACCTTCACTCTTCAGCTCTTCAGAACCACATTTTTGGTTGAACAGGACTGAGTACCTTTCTCCACACAGATCTTTGTCTGTCAAGGGCATACAGATTAACTGTACCTCCTCCTTCCTGGAACCAAAACATTTTTATCCTTTCTTTCTTTTTTCATGTCTTTTCTGTTTATAGAAACTCTCCAAGAATCAGTTATAAAACTAAGAGATGATTCTATTATGGGGAGGAACCATTATGGTAGCTCAGTTTCTTTCTTACTCACTTGGCAGCACTTTCTTTCCCTTTCAGTAATGAGAATTGTTTCAAGCATTCTAGAAGTTCCTTTATCTTTGAGTCCAATTACACTCTTCACACAGTATCCTAATGAACTTCTGAGGGAATAGAAAATATGCCAATGAATGAAAGACTCACAAAGTAGCTAAAGAAAGAAAGAAAGAAAGAAAATGTTTGTTACAAAGGTGAGATAAACAGGAAACATAGCAGGTTATTCTTTTGATGTTCTTAAAATGTCCTGGAAAACAACCGACTCTTAAATCTTTAACCTTGTTGACCTGTTTGGGGAAACAGGATATTTTTAAATGAATGCATCTTATTTAACAATAATCCCAAATTCTAATTCTGAAAGGATATGTATTTAAACATCTGAATCAACATCAAGGTTTCCATAGTGATGAATGAACTACCAAGTTGTAAACTAACTATATAGTCTATGGCCCATTGAGAATCCACTTAGCAGCTAAGTAAATACTCTTTTCTAGTTTTGCCTAGATTTGTTTTGTTACTTTATTTCCTAATAACCACTTTGTACCATTTTTGTGGGGTTTTTTTTATTCATTGCATTTATCCTTTCCTACTTCATGCCATTTACAAAGAGGTCCTAACAAAAACCTTTCAAGGTTTCTAAAGCCTAGCTAGACAACAGTGAATAGGTAGCACTTTTCTTCCTGGCTTTGGCAAGTAAGAACACTGCCATGGTGGGTGAGGAGGGGAAACCACAGGTGACTGCATTACATTTTCAACCTTTCGTTCTCAGCTTCCTTAGCAGATTGGAACTTGTATGCTACAGTGGAAATTTTTATAAAATAAAGCAGGAGAATGTTTCTGAGGATCTAAGGGAGCACTTTTACCTTCAATTCATTTGCCTTTATCAAATTAGATTATTTTAAGAATCAGCACTCACCCCTCTCGAAAGATGGTTGAGATCTAAAAAAGGTAGCTTTTCTTCCCACTTTCCCATATGTGACATAAGGAATATGTTTATTTGAATTGGCTGAGGTTCTTATCTGAGAAAGCAAAAGACAGGAAGAGTGCAAAACAACCAATAGAGTATTATGGGGATGGAGGGAATGTACCAACTACTACTATAAATACATTCTTTCATCAAATCCAAATTTTATGTTTTGAGAGGAAGGGGTGCTTTACTTATCATTCATTGGTGGGTAATGTGGTGAGGAATTTCTGAAAAGAGAGATAAATAAAGATAGGCAGCTGGACGCAGTGGCACATGCATGTAATCCCAGCAGCTCAGAAAGCTGAGGCAGGAGGATTGCAAGTTCAAAGCCAGCCTCAGCAACTTAGTGAGGACCTAAGCAACTGAGAGAGACCCTGTCTCTAAATAAAATGCAAAAAAGGGGCTAGGGGATGTGGCTCAGTGGTTAAGTGCCCCTGAGTTCAATCCCCAATACCAAAAAAAAAAGTTATCATCCAAATAATTATTTGATGATGAATCACCTCAACCAATCAGAAAATTTAAAGCAAGACTTATTTTAATTGAAGTTCTTATTTGTTTCTTTTGTCTTATGATATTACTTTATAATTTTTTTGGAGAGAGTTGCTTCAGGAAATTTTTGTCCCCATGATGGATAGGGGACACACAATGCATCTATGTCCAATACTAGATCCAATACTCTAAGTTCTTTGAAATTAGAGTATTGGATCTTCAAAAGACTAAAAGGTATCCAGTATTTTCCTACTTAATCTGAAAGAGCTACTACAGAAGTTTAATTATGAGCTGAGTTTTTCTTCCCTTCTTCCACATATTTATGGGATAATCTTTGTGCCAAAATGTTTTGGTACTGTATGAGAGGCACCAGAGATACCTGGAGGTAGGAAGTAATCACTTACCTTGCAGGACTAATGAATATTGCATTGTTTTCAGAATTAAGACACTGTAGTAGAAGGCTTATTATTAAAGAGTGTTCTTTGGGAATTTGATTTGAAGAAATACATGTGTTTGTTTTTATTCTTAACCAGGTACAGGAGTCTAAAGCACTTTAATTATGACATCTGCCAAAGCTGCTTTTTTTCTGGTCGAGTTGCAAAAGGCCATAAAATGCACTACCCCATGGTGGAATATTGTACTCCGGTAAGTCAGATGCCTCCCTACTAGAGGTCGATTTCAGGTTTTTTTCTATCTTTCTTTCTTTCTTTCTTTCTTTCTTTCTTTCTTTCTTTCTTTCTTTCTTTCTTTCTTTCTTTCTTTCTTTTTCTTTTTTTTTTTGTATTGGGAATTGAACCCAGGGGTGCTTAACCACTGAGCCCTGTCCCTAGCCCTTTTTCTTATTTTGAGATGGAGTCTCACTAAGTTGCAGAAGCTGACTTTGAATTTATAATCCTCCTGCCTCAGCCTTCTGAGCCACTGGGATTATAGATGTGTTCCACCGAGACTGGCTGTATTTCAGTTTTGTATAAAATCATAGATTATATATGTGTGTGCATTTTTGTTTTGTTTTGTTCTGTTTTTGTGGTGCTGGGGATTGACCCCATGGACTCATGCATGCCAGTCAAGCACTGTACCACTGATTCACATCCCATTCTGCAGATCATGTTTAATGCTGTGATTTATAAGTTCCCCAGCTAAAGTGGCTCAGATTACCCTTTTTCTTGCACACATGGAACATGATAGGTGTTCAGTAAATATTGTTGAATGAATAAATAGTTGGCATGATTGTAGGGTAGATGTTTCACATTTCTTTTTCAGAATTCTAAAGGTTATATGTAGAGATCTTATGGCCAAGCAAGGGACATGTTGAGTATTGGGGGTGGTATGCAGGTTCCTCACAACTCATAACCTACTGCTTTCAATCACTGTTGCTCATATTTTATCTCTGATATAGGAATAAGTAATCCTTTAAATGTTTTATGTACTTAAAACTTTAAATGTTTACATGCTACCTTGTGTCGCATAGATATTATTGTTTTTACTCTGCTTTTACAGATAAGGACTCTGAGATGCTGAGGTTAGTTTGCCCAAAGTTTTATAAGTGAGAAATAGAGACTTCTCCTAAGATTACGTTTTAGGAAAACATTTAGTAGCTAGTAGAACTTTGATAAACCACTTGTGGAGTGGCAAGGACAGAGGCTTCATGGCCAGACAGAGTTGGACACAAATCTTATGTGAACTCTAGATGCATGCTATTCAAAGTATGGTCTGTCTGCCATACTTTATCTGGTGTTTATTAGAAATGCAAATCCTGTAGCTTTATCCCTTTATGTCCTAAATTAAAACTTGCATTTTAGCAAGATCCACAGGTGGCTCTTGAACACATCTGCTTTAGAACATGTCTTTCTTCCATCATCAGAATGATCCTCCCAGGTATTTAATTATCTTTCTATTATTTCTCTTAACAAAGGTAGTCAGTGATGGAGAAGGTACCATGCCTGATATTTTGTGGGTAAAGAATGATTTTCTATGGACTAGTTTCTTAAATACAATAAAGTGTGGTAAAACTTATACACTATCATTCATCAAATAACCTCATAGCTTATATACTTCATTTATTTTTCATAATAACTTGTGAAAGTATTATTGAACCATTTTACAGATGATCGGTGCTTCAGAGAGTAACTCCCACACCTTAGTAAATTTCAGGTCTGGTTTCAAAGCTGCATTTGTCTGGTTCCACAAAACAAGAGCCTTGAAGCTAAAGATTGGAGTGGTCATTTGTTGTGAAATCATACTCTCCTAAATCTGATCTCACCATGATTTCCCTTTTAGACTACATCAGGAGAAGATGTCCGTGACTTTGCCAAGGTACTAAAAAACAAATTTCGAACCAAAAGGTATTTTGCGAAGCATCCCCGAATGGGCTACCTGCCAGTGCAGACTGTCTTAGAGGGGGACAACATGGAAACGTGAGTAGTGGCCAAAGCAAAACAGACTGTCATTTGATGTATATCTGAGCTCCTGTCAGCCGAATTCCCTCCTTCACTCCCAAATGCAAACAGTCTCTTCTGTTTCTCTCTTCAGATTTACTGTAGCTGAAAAGAGAAAAAATAAGTTGATGTTCAATCATCATTTTCTCATGTCTCCCAACAATTGCCATTTCCGCAAGTTAAACTTTATCTCACAGGGGAAAGGAAAAAAAAAAAACAAAAACAAACCAAACACATAATAGCCACCAATTGCCTTGCAAGGTTTTTAAGAAATATGGGACTGTTTACAAATGAGTGATGTCAATATTTCATTTTGATTTTTCCTCCCTCACAAGTCAGTAGATGTGTGTCTTTCTGTATCTGAATGTGTGGTCATCCCTAGTCCCTTTTTTTCCTACTTGAAAGAAAATCTAGTCACCGAAAATTGCTTCACAGTAAGTAGTAATGATTCTCATGGTCAAGCCAATGATGTTGTCACCTCTTTTAAACCTGTTCCTTATCTGTTCCTGTAACTCTGATGGCAGTCACACGGCTGTTTGTTTTTCTTTTAATTCACTTTCCACCTTTATTTGGCTGTTGCTTTCCATGGTTCATACTTAGTTGGATTTTATTTCTTTTGACCTTTCAGTAATTTTTGTTGTGGCTGACTTTGCCTGTGTCTCTCTTCACCACCTCATTTTTTTGTTTTGCAGTCCCGTTACTCTGATCAACTTCTGGCCAGTAGATTCTGCGTGAGTACTTTTGCTGAAGGGCGCTGCTACCACCAACACATTCGCTTGCTTGATTTAAAAGAATTTTTTTCTGGTTCTGTTTTGTTTAGAGGCATATTAATTTCCTTTCTTTCATTTTGGTTTTTGTTTCTTCTCTTGATGAGACCTAAGAGTGCCGTCTACCATAGATCAAAAAAATTGGAGTAGGGTTTTCAGGTCCCCCTCTGGTTGAAATTCTGAATAGCTGAAATCTTGGCCTGAGTTCAAATTAAAATCAGAGAAAGGATTGGAGTTTTAGTGTATTCCTGGGAGACATGTTTATATATTTCCTCAACCATAAGCAAGGAAGAGCCTCCTGATTACATAAGAGTGTTCTTTAGGCCTATTTCTTGAGATTTGGTGCTTTAGGGCCTTCAAAAGGGTTATGGTTCTTTCCTTAGGTCCTGTCATCACTCGAGTTTTAAAACTCGGAAGGGTCAATTTTGTAGTATGGTGTTGAGTTTGGCTGAATAATTTCAGTGTAGTGTGTGGACTTTTTATCATTATATATACTATGCTTTTGACTAATTTTTATATACATTGGTTTCTACATTTTAAACTAAAGTCATTTTACTCTCCTCTCCAAACTACCTTCAGTTCATAAACAGTTCTATATTGACAGTGGGAAAAAATGTACTGTAATCTGTTATTACTACTGGTGTGTATTAATAATACTAATATTAGATACTGAGAGATGATTGATTTATCTCAGAGTTATAACATTGGAAATCTCTTTTGGGGCTGGCTGTGGTGGCTCATGCCTGTAGTCCCAGCAACTGGGGTGGCTGAGATGGAAGGATTGCTTGAGCCCAGGGGTTTGAGACCAGCCTGGGCAATATAGCAAGAACCCATCTCAAAAAAGAAAGAAAGAAAACTCTTTTGGGGGCCTGTGATTTATACATTAACAAACAAGGTGTACTTGTTTTAAAATGCTATTTTATGGTGTTTCTATAACAAATATTTGGTAATTCAATATGTTTTATCAAAATATTCATTTAAGGTCAGGTAGCTTTATTACATATATAGAGGAAATGACCAAATTAGAAGAGGGACTCATTTAAGAGTTCAATTTATTTATTTTGGGCTTTTAAAAATTAATCCACCACATTATTAGTTTAAGCCAGATCTTTTCTTTAAAACCCTGTATTGATAAATGCAAATGATTACTTGAGGTTTATTTTAAGTCCTTATTGTCCTAAATGAAGTAGATGACTTCCCTTTCTTTTTTAAAACTGTATTACTGTGCCCCTTAATTTTGAGATATAATAGCTATAAGTAGCAAATTGTCTGATTTTTTTCTTAATCCTGAGCTTTAGCAATTTAGGAAGTTATTTAGATTCAGTTATGCTCCTGGCCTGTTGGTAATTGTTTTCCTTAACTCAGGTAGTCTGTTTATAGAAGTTAGAATCTTTCATAAATGAGAAACTTTTTAAAAATTGATATACTGAAGTCCTGAGCTTGATTGGATCCTGCTAAGTAAACATATTTACTCTTGTGTTGGAGTTCAGTTTAACCAAGTAAGAAATTCAAAAGATAAGTATGCTGAAGTACTATTTTTTTAAATGCATGGCTAGAGGTAGCACAAAAATAATAAAGAGTATCAAGCACTTCTTTAAAAGAAGCTACACATGAGCTAATAAGAGGAAAACATCAGGACAATCAGTTAAAAGTAACATTTTAAGTAGAGTGTGTTTGTCTTCTTTGATTTTGAAGTGCTTTAAAATTAATGCCATCCTTATGAAAGCATGTTTTCTAACAATTAACATACCCTCCATAATTCATCTTTTTGTGAAAAGGTTGGTTCGGTTATTTCAGAAGAGTGGGAAATTCTGATTTTGAGAAAGAAAACAAGCCCAATAGAATGAAGTTTGTGTTTTCTTTAGTACTATAATTTTATTAAAGTCTTTACTCATAGGATTATAAGTAATAATGTATAAAATCTATTGTAAACCTATCCTATTCAGGCAGAAGAGTCAGGTCCTAATGTTTTATTTTGTAAGAATTCTTTTTGATGTTAATAGATCTTATGATGATGACAATATGTATGTAATTCATTCAATACGGATCACAGATTAGAAAGTTTCCTGAGATACAGATCTTTTGGGTTTTGCCCGTATTTGTCGTATTATTTTAAACTAAATCTAGCTTAGGCCTTTTTTGTTTATCCATTAAGTGGGGCAGTCCAACAATGTTCTTTGAGCTATTCTGCTTTGAAATCTAGATGAATGAAAACTTATCAATGGAGGTTTTACAAAAGAGAAAATGGTGATAGGTAAGATGCCTTTGGCCGAGTGGATTATTAATGGTAACAAGAAGTAAACTTTCTTGGTATATGGTTTTGTATTTAGGAGGCAGGAATTGGGAATAGTATTATTATCATCCTTCAAAAGTGTTTTCCAAGGCTTATGTACTTAGTTTTATTTCTGGACTCAGTGTTTTTTTTTTTTTTAATTTTTACTAATTCTTGGTTTTTAAATGATTCTTCTCTGACCAGCACTCCCTTTTGGCTTATTTTCTGGTTTAATATGTATCTCTTTTAGTGTATATTTTTTAAGATTTCTGGTTATGATGAGTTCCTATGCATACACATGCTGCAATAGGTGCTACATACATTAATAAGAAAAATAATGTGGAATCAATTATCCCTCAGGCTAAGAGTTAAAGCTCTAAGATTTTCTCTATAAGACTGTATTCATGTGCTTTGGATTTACATGCCTGCTTTTCTTGGTATAGTTTTGCTTCAAAGTCTTGGGTTTTCTTTCCTCTGTACAGTACTACAGTAGCAAACTATTGTAAGAGAAAATTCTACTAATGTATTTTCATTGATGGTGGCCTTTTAGCTTATAAAAATAAGTAACCGAATGACTGATCTATTCCAGAAGATAATGCTTATAAGTCAAACAATCCAAGTATTAAATTATCTTTACCTGCAGTGAAAATTTCAAAACCTTAGCATTTTGAAACAATGGGCTATTCCAGGACTCTAGAAAATTAGCAGATTAACTCTCCAAAAATATAGTGAGGATTCACATGGAAATCTTTGGATCTGCCTATTACATTGGGTAGTCATCCTTTTGTTTCCTCATGAAAATTGAAACATCCTTTTACTTGACCTAGACAACATTGATTTCATAAATAAGATTTTTATCTCTCAGGGAAGTCTTCTAGTTCCCTAGTTATTTGCTGTAGTGTGTTGTAATTATCTTATGATAATATATCTTCATTAAGAAATTTTAATTTCTGGCACACTTCTTATGTAAATCTAGTTACAAGTAGCTACTTTTTCTTTCTTCTTTTTTGTTTTTTAACCTAGAAAAATAACATATTCTTCTTAGTGTTCACACCAAGCCCCTTGAATGCTGCTTGGGCTTTAGGTTCAAGAAGAGCCCTTGCTGAATACCTTACTGTTGACTTTTGAATTCTGTGTCAGGAGAAAAATGGAAGAGACCTTTTGTTCTATTCCAGTTAAAACAAAAAGCACAAGCCCAAAACAGGTGTTTCCCCACCCCTAATGTTAATCCAAAAGATAATATAAAAATTTCCAGGAAAATTAATAGTTCACATAGTAAAAATATAAAAATATATGTTAACCCTACCAAAATTCTAGCCTATGGAGCTAAGAAAAGGTAGAAATTTTTAATTATAAAAAATTATATTGACTACTCATGCTAACTTTCCTCTTGTTTCTCATCTGTATTTTAGAATATGACTGATAAAAATATTTCATATATTATGACATTCTATTGAATTAGTAATTCTTTTTTAAAACATCATAATATGATCTTGGGTCATTCTGTTTTGTTCTAGAAAGTAGTAATATGTTCCTGCTGTTAATTTGGCAGATATATTCCTTGTGTAGAAAATTCCACAGAACAGTACTATGGGAAATATTAAGAAGTCTTGGACTGGAGTAGCCTCTTTGAGACTAAAATGCTTGACTGTAAATGTTTTAGGCAAACCTATAGTTTGCAGTCTGTAAATAGGCAGCTAATAAATGGCTCAGTCATAAGTGTTTAAAAATTTAAATCTCATAGTGATTTAACACAATTTCAGAACTATAGGAGATGAGATACTGCAAGCTTAGGAGGACAAAATGCTTCATAGAGATTTTCTCCCCAGATCTTTTCTGTAACCAAACTTTCCAGAAAATTTTTGATCTTTGTGGCTTTTAAAGAAAGCAGAAGTATGAGAAATCATCTCTCCAACCTGGATTTTAAATTCTTGATGCTAAGATACAGAAACAGTTTAATGTATATTATCCTTATCCGTAGAATTAGAACAAAAGCATTCTAGGCCATGTATTTAACATAACTGTGTGGTGGGTTTTTTTCTCCATTAATGGATGGTATCTGTGACTAATCACATTTTCTGCCTTATAGGCCTGCCTCGTCCCCTCAGCTTTCACACGATGATACTCATTCACGCATTGAACATTATGCTAGCAGGTATGAGACTAGTTGAATGCCAGGCAAATATTGATTGAAGTAACTAACCAAGGAAAGCTAACCAATAGTAATTTTAAACAAATCTTTTCTTCCTCCATCTTGCCTAATTTCTACTAATCAACTTGCCCTCTAACGTGCATGCCATTCCACTGCATGTTGTTTTTGGAAACCAACAAGAATGTTGGTCCAGAACAATCTTCCCTAACCCTGGCCTTTAAACATTTCTGGTAGCATTGTTATGTTTTGTATACTGAGCACACTTACCAAATTGGCTTAAAAATCAAATCATCTAACCTCCTTAGAAAACTGCTAGACTAGACATTAATCTGTGAAGAAAAGATACTATGTTATATGGAGAATATGAAAGCGTCAGCTTTCCATTTGTGTTTATTTTATGTGATACACTATAAAGAAGATAATAATTAATTTCCCTAACCCTTGGACCTTTCTATCCCACCTCCTTTGTATTTGACATAGTTTTATACCGAAAACCTGAATTACTAATTATAAAATATCTCATGCTTGTTAAAGAAATCTGTAAGAGTTTGATTAACTTTTTTTTGTTGTTGCCAAAAGACTTTATCATTCTCTGAGGTAAAGGAGGGTTTAAAGGTAAAAATTGGTGGCAGAACATTTAGTGACCTTACTGTGAATCCATCCTTTATCAGTATTCTGACTTTGGACATGCTTACCAATTGTGAAAAGCATTAACTAGCTTTATAAGTCTGTCATCAGTGGAAGGCATTAATTGTCTTGAAAGACAAAGGGTAGTGTAAGGTATGGGGTGCATTTGTGGTTAGGGAAGCTTTTCTTCTGAAAATAAAAAATCTGTTCTCAGTGAAAGGAAGATGGACCTGTGGAAATAAAACAGCAATGAAATACAACTTCCCTTAGAATTTATATCAGAAATGTTAAGCTACTCACTTGCTGTGGTCTACCACACACTGCTTCGTATGGTTAAGCCAACACACACATCCTTTAATTTGAAGGATTCCTTTCTCCTCTTGCCATGATTTATCCTTTAGTTTTCAGGAATGTTCGATTAGGTCTTGAATAGATTCTAAGAAGTCACATAAGTTTTAATGAGCTTTTACGTTTTTTATCAGGCTAGCAGAAATGGAAAACAGCAATGGATCTTATCTAAATGATAGCATCTCTCCTAATGAGAGCATGTAAGTATCCCATCTCTTTTTACAAAATGTTCCTGACAATGAAATTGCTTGGAGGGATTTAGAGGTAGGATAGCATAGGATATAGGAATTAGCATCATATTCATTTGATCTTTCAAAGAGCCATTCATTTACTGCTTTTCTTTTAATTCTGTAACAGCCAGGCACAGAATGAGCTCATTCAGATTCAGGCATTATCAATATTCCAGAGTAGTAAAAATCATAGGCCCTGTTCTTGTTGAATCTTATTTAATACCATATCATTACCAATTGCAAGAGTCCCAGACACTTATACTAAATGCTTAATCTTTTACCAAACTTCCAGATATTTAAAAGGATAGGATACTAATTTTAAAGTAATGGCTATGTAGTATTTTTTCCACCCCTGGGGAGTAGAAGTGTGATCTTGCTATTCCCATATGGTAAGATAGTTGGGCATTTTCCTTCAGAAATTGAAAGTAGGAGATTTTTGTGATTTAGCATCTTCACGAAGTTACTAAAGTGAGTCAGTCTTATGAAGAATTTCCAGAAGAAGGAATTCAAGTTCAGGTTCCAGTTTGTTAGTGGGATGATAAGTCAACCCTGTCAAACTTTAAGGAAGAAAATTGAATGATGCTAAAAGTATCAGCAAACACAGCTATGTCAGGGAAACAGGCTTCATTATAGACAAGGGACAATATTCACAATATGGAGCACAGAGGGACATTGCCATGAACTCACAAATGTTGGCCAGGGTCCTAGGTAGAGACAGCAGATTATGAAGCAAATTGGAAGGAAAGAGTAAGACTTTCCCAACCGAATAAACAATGTAGAGAGGAGAACCTAGTCAAAATGCAACAATCCTTTGTGTTTGACCAGTTATGGCTGTTTCACCATCTTGTCATGGAGAATAGGTAAAGGGAAGAATGGTAAATTTATCATATATAGCTGGTATAGCAACCCAAAGTCTTGCTCAGATGAGAAAAGGGACTTCATGAGGATTAAGCCTAAGGAAATTGTATCAAAGTGGCATTAGTATATAGCTAGTTATTGAAGACATCAGAATAAATCATCTCATCTAGTACATTAAGGTGATCAAGGTAATAATAAAGAATCAAGTCAGAACTCTGTAGTTTGTATATGACTTAGTTCCTCCACATAAACAAACAACCTTTTTCTAGTTATAACTGTGCAGTTTCTTTCTTAGCTATTGGAAAAAAAAGGTATTAATGAGATTCCTATATAAAATTCTTAAACATGAAAATGTATGCCCAAAGAATAAACCAAATCAAATGACTACAGTGATTTGCCTCTTTGGCTCACTGATTTTGTATATTAGAAACTCTAACACATTCAGATTAATTCAGTGGCTACCATTCACTGACTGCCTTAAAAGAATAGGAAGAAAAGCTTAATTACAACTATCTGTTATAATTAGAAATGGGAACTTCTAACAATAAAATTTCAAAATTTGGGAAGAAGACTAATAAATTAGATAGGTGGTAAAAGCTTTTATTTTTAAATGAAATTCAGGACAAAAAATCCATTTTCACCCAATTTTGGATGGTAAAAAATGACATTTAAGAGCAGATTTGGGGAAGTAGTTTAGTGGATTGGTTGATTTCACTTATGTTTCTTTTTAACACCAAATAATTATTTTTAGTTGACTCATCACATCTTCACCAGTTATCTGGCTTAATGGACCAAAATAATTTAAATCAGGGGGACTTCCTCCTAAATAATAAGATTTTTTGTTCAACTTAAAACTAAGTTTAGAGAGGGAATACAAAGAACTTTAGCCTCTCACTAAGAACAGAGTGAAGTTTTTATAACTCAAAGGAAATTGGCTTTCCAGGACCTTGAAGCAATGCATTCTGAGAATAATTTCTCCTAGATATTACAGGGTTCCTATTTTCCAGGAAAGGTTGCTGATGCCTCCCCAAATATAGCTTTTTACTTCTGTTTCCCCTAAGATTAGCCTTTAAGACTTACTCTGAGGAATATGTTGTTCTTTCTTCTTTAATCAGCCACCTTAATGGCTTTTCCCCCTCGATTTTTGTGCTTCTGTTGAAACAGTAATTGAATGAAACAGTTATTTATCTAGAGCTTAATTATTGTTACCATTCTGCCTCCATGACTTTCATAAATTAAAATTAGCTCACTGAAGCAACACTTCTTGGTTACTTTGCCTTCCACTTAAGAAAATATTTATTCTATTATTTTAAAGGCTACAGGATTTTTCCCCCTAATCAGTACCAGCAGTAGTGTGAGTTAGCAAACTGATTATATTTTGACAGGCTTGGTACCAAAGCATGAAATGACCATTATGTCTTCTCATACTTATTAACTATTGGCTAAATGGTCAATGCACAGTCCTGGTATTTCCATAATCCTACCTTTTCTTTATCCATGTAAATAGGCCAATCAATTTCACCTGAAAATTCAGCCCAAAACACTTTGAATTGTCATCTGTAGGGTGGTAGACCACAACTTTAATAGTACCTAAATGTCTTTAGAAGCAGGAAATAAGATCTTATTGTTAATAGCAAATAAATGTTTCTATTTTCCATACACACCCAAGTCCCTGACCCCCAAAGCAAAATAAGGGGGGGGAAAAAACCAAAACCTTTGATTTTATTTTCCAGAGATGATGAACATTTGTTAATCCAGCATTACTGCCAAAGTTTGAACCAGGACTCCCCCCTGAGCCAGCCTCGTAGTCCTGCCCAGATCTTGATTTCCTTAGAGAGTGAGGAAAGAGGGGAGCTAGAGAGAATCCTAGCAGATCTTGAGGAAGAAAACAGGTGAGTTTTCTTTCTAGCTTTGTCATTGGTAAGCAGAGTGCATAAACTTGCACACACAGACAAGCTCCAGGAATCTTCACTTAGAGTTATTCTGTGTCTAATTGTTTGCTAAAATAATCTGTTTAGCTCCATTTGCAGATTCTTTGTCTTTTTTTTAATCTGAAAGAAGAAAATGAATGCAATAGTATGCTTAAGAACTCATTTTTAGGTGTGAAGGGATTAATGCTGATGGGGTACTTGGTTTTTGCATGTATTTCGGTGGCTTTGATTTTATATTTTAGAATAGAATTTAAGAAAAAAATAGGTCATGTAATTTTATGACTATATAATCTTTACATGTGTTTGGCCAAATTATCTCAAAACATTTAAGAAAGTAGGTTCATTGGCTTGGTCATATTTGGGAATAGATTATTTCATCTTATTATTCATCATCAAATGCAGAAGTCATTACTTGCGTTCACCATGATAGCCGATTACAGAGGTAATTCCAGTTCTCAGCCATCACCTGTAAAAAATGTTCATATAAAAATAGCAGAAATTGTAGAAGAGGAAAAGGGCAAAAGAAAATTCACAATGACTGCAGAGAGGAAAAAGTTGTAAAAACCTGGAGTACTATGTGGTGTTAGGATAATGCAAATCATTTTATTTTACTTTGGTGTATTACATTTATTATATCCTAGGTCCTCTGGTTAACAAAGCCTTTACACATAATCATTTCTAACTCACAGTGTGCCTTCTTCAGGCAAATGCCACCAGGCAAGTCTTTAAAGGAGAAATTGCTCAAATTTGTTGCACTTAAGTACTTTCATCTCTTTGGTTTAGCCCAAGGCACCAAGACCTCTTAATCAAGGCAACACAGTATGTCTGAGAACCACTGCCCTCAGGGAGGATGTCACCTCAAGATGAAAAAGTAAACTGCCATTCATCCAGTCCTTTCTCCTGCCACTCCCTGCCTTCTATCTCTTAATATGTTATGACCTATGGCCATAGCTCCTTATCTGGTTTGCTTCCTTTTAGTTTCTTTCCCACCCCTGCAATAACTCCTCCATATCAACTACTTGTACATTTTTCCAGAATCAAGACCCATCATGACATTCTTCCTTTATTAAATGACTACATCTTGGGAGGAAAAAAAAAAAAAAGCAAGAAAGTCCAGCTTCTCGGCTGGGCATTCAAAGCTTCCACAATTTTCTCATGACCTGCTTTTTCAACTTCATCTTCTTTTGTACTCCCTGCATTCTGGCTATGCTGTGGTAGCTATTATTTCTGACTACATCCTGCTCTCATCCACTTTCAAGCTTGTTTCTCAGCCTACCTGCTATCCCCTAACCTTCCACTGCCCTTTCTAACAAAGGAGTCCCACCTTTGCTCACAATAACTTTCCTCATAGAACCCTCCTAGGACTCTGCAGTAGATGCAATCTATCTTTTGCTCATATTACCAGAACACTTTGGACTTTTCTTAGAGAAATCCTTGACAGTTTGCCTTTTTATCAGTTACCATCAGGGCCTCCCTGTAATGAGGTACTTGAGTGCTTTTAGGGCAAGGACTGTGCCCTGATCCTCTTCATGTCCTTTGTAGTAAGAACCCAGCACAATATGAATACTTAGTGGGTACTCAGAAAATATTTGATGGAAACCTAAAAATACAGCAAGGATATCATATGAGTACCACCCTGGAGGTAATATTATACATTATTTTTGTTTTAATGATAACTGTATTCTGGGTCTTATTTGTAAAATTGTTCAGGAATAAAGACCATGATAGATAAAGCATTTTCCTGCACTTTATTGAGAATAATCATTAGTACTCATTCATGTTAAATCTTTAATAATTATAGCGGTCAAAATCAAATAGAAAAAATTGTAAAGAGAATTGGATGTTATTGAGGAGTCAGTACATTTTTATAGTATGTGATTATTGCCCTTGTTTAATTGATCTGTTTAGTTCATTGGTCAAGAGCTCTGTCTTGTACGTCATTAGCACACTTTCCCCCCATACCATGGCAACCAGGTCAAAGAGTGTTAGTAAAGAAAAAGAATACTGATAACTATCATTTATATATCATTATATGATTTTCAGAAAGCTTTTTTTGTGTGCTTGGGATTGAACCCAGGACCTCATGAACACTAATCACACTCTTTACCATGAGCTACATCCCAACCCTTCATTTCCAGATCACTTTAATATATTTTAAATCATTTAATCTTCCTAAAAGCTCTATAAGAAAGAGCTTTTCTCGTTTCTATAAATGAGGAAAATGCAAACTCAGAGAGGTTCCAATAGGTTGCCCCAGATTTCACAGTGAGCCCATGGTAGAACTAAATTCAAATCGAGACTTTTCTGACTAAAAATAGCCAACTCTACCTTGGATCAGAGAACAAAGAGGAATAATTCTGTGTAAATAGTATTTACATAGAATCATGGCTTATTCCCCAGAATGTACCTTAACTTGAGGAAATATTTATAAGGAACCAATGTCCCTGAAAAAAACCAGTTCATCTACTTGTGGTACAGTGACAGCCACTCTACTCTGAAAGATATCCAAGATCATTCTCTAAGAATGGGATGATTTGTTCTCTGAAAGAAAGGAGAACATTATACCAGGGCTACTTAGAACTCCAAAATGAGGAATCTTGTGTTGATGCAGGTCTTTCTGTAAGTTATCTTGATCTTCAGGAAAAGGTCAGAATGAGTGTCTTGCTTTCTCCCGACACTTAGTCACATTCATATCTCCTCCCAAGTCCCAGAGAAATGTCTCTATATAGACCTCCCCTCCTGAAAACAACCTGTCTGATTTCCTTCCTTCCTTCCTTCCTTCCTTCCTTCCTTCCTTCCTTCCTTCCTTCCTTCTTTCCTTCTTTCCTTCCTTTCTATCCTGTCTTCTTATAATTCTACTCAAGGACCTTCAGAGCCATAGCTTTGCTTGCATGACCTTTGAGTTCATTATTGCTTAAGAAGCCTTTAATTTGCCATTTCCTGTGCTCCCCCTGAGAAAACCCAGGAAGTCATTAGATGCCCTTTCTCTGTGCCTGCCAAGCTGGCTATTTCCCAAGCCAGAATTAGGCTTTATAAATGACAGACGGGAGCCTACTTTTACAGAAAATGGGAAAGGATATTTAAACCTGAATAGTCCTAATTGTTTTTGATGTGTACTTACTATATCTTCGAGTATTTTCCCTCCTTTATTCTGCAGTTATTACTTATCTCCAAATAACAGTTGGCAAAGGAGAGAGAGGCGTGGAGACCTCCATTCTTGACTAGATATGTTATCGGAGTCTGTTAATTTTGCTTATTCATGAAACCTCCCCACAATCTCCTAGGAAAACAGAAGATGGCTATTTTAGAAGGGTCTCAGGAGTATTCTATCTCTGTCATTAGAATTCCTTTTCTCCCAATTGTTGTACATAGCATTCAGTAAATATTTGTTGAATAAATTAATGAATAAATGAATTGAAATGAAGCTGATCTATTTTAATTTTAACGCACATGCATGATGTACTTTGGATGAAAATTCTTTTAAACCTAATTTCATAGAGAAAAGCCTTTCATGGATTTTTTTCCTGCTCACTTTTCTAAATACTACCTTTTTTTTCAGACTGCCTTGATTATCACAAGCACTGCTTTATCATAAATTTAGAATGTTAAAAATCCATTTTCTTAATCCTAGGTGTCATATGGTCTCTCCTATTGGTTTATACTACAAAGATAAGGCTAAAGCCCTGAGCAAAAGCTAGATTTGACTCTGATTTATTCTAATAGTGTCTCTCCTAAGTTTGAGTAACTAGAGACATTAATGAGATATCTAAACTTTACATTTTATTTCTGCAAAATAGCTCTCACTCATTACCACAGAAAATTCAAATTCATCTTTATTTGTTAGGGATCAGTTGAATGTTGGGAATTTGCCTCATTCTGTGTCCTCAGCTTGTGTTCCTAAGGCTTACTTTCTTCCTATATACATTAAACCCTGTACTCACCTGACTTAAATTAGTGGTGTTCAAATTACTGCCAGTTTTTTGTTTTGTTTTGTTTTCTTTCTGCACTGTTTAAATGAACTTTGCTTGCTCTGAAATCCAAGGCATGATCCTAGCAATGAAAATGTTATCCTTTATAAGAGACAAAGATTTATTGTCATTCATTACCTGCATAACAAATTGGATAGTGTATTACCAACTCTAAAAGAAAGGTAAATACTAACCTGGTTGATCAGGAAGCCTAAAGTTACGGTTGTTACTAGATGTCACATGACAATGGAGAACTCTAGATTCTTTATACCTACTCAGTACCTTTCACATGCCTTGTTGTTGGATACCCAGAACTTATGCAGCCTAAATTTGGATTATCTCTTGTTCCTTTTTACTCCTCCAATGATTATACAAGGTTATTTATGTTATATTCAAAGAAATTTTAGATTTGATACTTATATCACTGAATTGAACTAGCTGAAAATAATAGACTTGTCCCTTTACCTTATAAGTGACTTGATGACTTTGGACCTTGTTCTCATAGTTAACAGTCTTAAAGGCTCAGGCATCTTTATTCCGTTTCTTTCCATTGGCCTTTTTTTAAATTAAAAAAAATTAGGGCATTATAGCATTATAATAATACATAATAGTGGAGTGCAAGTTTGAAATGATGGTGAGAAGATAGCCAAGCTAAAGTGGGTCAGGAAAGCACATTCCCAGCCAGGGATAAATATAAACAAAGGTATTGGGGAGGAATATTATAATATATTTAGAGAAACAGTACATTATTGCTTTTTTAACAAAGCAAAGAATGGAAAGCAATGGGGCTGGTTAGGTGGATAAGGGTCTGTCTGGAAGGGCATGGTGGCATGCTGAGTTGATGCATCCTCACCTAGGACAAAGAGCCCCTCTAGAGTGTCAGCAGGAAGGAGGTCCTTATTTCTCACTTATGCCCCTCTCTCTTATACATATGCAGCTTATATACATACACTTAGATTCATTCAGATGCGTGAATGACTTTGAGAACTATAG